GCACCTCTGCAAAGGAAGTATTGCAATAGGGTCAATTCCTTGCCTTCTGCTCCACCCTTTTAATGGTGCTGCTGGCACACAACCCTGCTACAAGAAGGGGAACAGGAGGATGAAACAGCTCATTCAGGTCTCTGGATGAAGAAGCTGGAGGAGTTACCAGAGCATTTATAGCAGCTGGACATTAACTTTGGGTCGGTAGTCACTGCTGGAGGTAACTGTACCCCTTCAGGCACACTTCAGGCCCCTACCGCTCATCTGGCTGTTCCCACAGGCACTGCAGCTGCTGACACAACCAACAGGCACACCTCCCCGTCATCTCTCCTGGCTGCCCAATGACAGCTCCACCAGCAACCCGGCTCTCAGCAGGGCATTTGGCATGGTAGGGGCTGAGTGCCAGGTGGGCACGGGGCTGCAAAGGTGGGATGGATGAGGCCGTGCCACCATTCACTGGGGAATGCACTTAGGTATCAGCTGTGTCCACCAGCAAGAGACAAGGGCAGAGCCGTGCTGCTGCTCAGGCTCCTGGCACTGTAACCCTGCTCAGCTGTTCCAGAGGGAGAGACAGTATCCATGTGTGCCTACGTAATGGGGCCAGCAGAAATGCAGGAGACCTCCATCATGCTCACCTTCCCTCACTCACAAAGGTCCTCACTCACCCACACATCTCATGTATCCCACTGCCAATGGCCATAAGCCTGTGCTGTTCTTCATAAACCAGATGCTCTGAGGAGCTGGGAGGTTTTGGTGTGGTCTTGGCTTCACACAAGTGATCTCCATGGCAGAAGGCCAGTACCCATTAGGGCATGTCAGTGTCACCGCTTTATTGAAGTTGTAGAATTCCTGGTCTGGGACAAAACGAATCCTGGAATCCCACTGTGGCTTCTGACATTTCCCTGCACCAAAAACATGGGAAGATGTTAACAGAAGAGCTGCTGCCCTGGTACACAGTGGTGAGGGATGGAGTTTCTGGTCATGATGTGGATCAGCCTTCCTACACCACAGCCCTTTGGCAGCACCTCCCACTTCCCCGGCACATGCAGAGCCTGAATTCTGTTATGCTCACACAGCCTGCCTTTCTCTGGGTAGGAAGGGCAATGTGGGGCTCCCAGGACGGCTCCTGGTGCCCCTTTATTCAGGCAGTCTGCACTGGACCAGATGCAGCTGCAGGCATTACTGATGTGCCTTCCCTTGTAGACTTCTTCGGATGTCCCATTGCTGAGGTACTTCAGTTTTCCTATACGTATGAAGTGAGAGTAGGATGGCTGTAAACCCTCAGGGCAGTTCAGCATCACCCATTTCTTCTTCCTATACTCCTCCAGATCTGGTGCCAGATGGAGAGCAGGGTGCCAGCAGGGCCTTTGGCACATTTCTATTTTAGATGGAAGCAGGTTCAATTAGGGTGGGAAATGGTGAGGTGTGGCAGTGCCTGAGGATGGGGTTGGCAGGGATCCCCAGAAACGCCTTCTGGATCCCAAACACAGATGAGAAGACACAGACACCTCTGCCAGGACCAAAGATGGAAGCCTTCCTCTTGCTCTGGAGCCACAACTGATCCCCACACACCTGATCTTCTCTCACAGCCAGGGGCATCCATTGCCCCTCACAACAAGACATAACCTGGACACTTCCTAATCAGACATCTCTTTTCTTTCCTTCAAACCTGCCTCCATCCCTGAAATCCCTGAGTGCCTATGATGCTCCAGATCTCTCTAGGCTCCAGCAAATCTCTTCTGCATTCTCCTTGCTCAGGGGTTGGTCACAGCCTGCTTCTTTCACCCTCCTCACACTGCCTGCCCTGACTTGCAGAAGGCTCATATGCACCTTTCTAGCCATGGGAGCTTGAACTCTGGCAGCAAGAATGGCACCTTTTTCCCTGCCCGCCTCCCTGCAATCATCCCCACAGGTAGCACAGCCCTGTCCTGTGGGAGGGCACTGCCCTTCCCTCTGGCATATCCCCACTGGCTCCCATCCAGGTACCCAGTGCTCCCTGCACCCCCCACTCATTTATCCCTTCTGTCTCCCACACTGCAGCTCCTGCAGCTGCTGGAGGAGTCCCGGGGACCCTCCTCTGCACAGGAAACAAGGGTTTGCAGAGCAGTGCACACCAGGGTGGCATCGGCAGCCGCAGCAAAGAGCAGGACAGTCTTGGGAGCCTCTCAGAGCTGGCCCCACACCCTGCCCCATGACGTGTGTCTGCTGGGCAATGCTGTGGGTGGCATTTTGGTGTGAAGGCAGAGAGGGGATGAGTAGAAATGCTGCTGCCTCACTTACCTTTACATGATACGTTCTTATCAATGAGCATCCAGGCACCAGAGACCTTCCTCCCCATCCAGACGTATTGTGTGATAGGACTTGATTCTTGGAATTGCTTTACACATTTGACGCTGCTGAAGGAGGGCTTGAGATGTCCAGGGCAGGTCAGCTGCAGTTCCTCATTCACTCCATAACTGTCTCTGTCTGGTGTAAACTGAAGTCTGTTGTCCCACTGCGGCTTGCTGCACTGTTCTGTTGGGACAAAATGTGACAGTCTGTCTTGGGGACAGGGGGACAAGGAGGAGGGCTGAGTCTCGGCCATGCTGACTGTGGTGTCAGCAATGGACAGCATGAAGAGATGTGAGGCCCAGGAGCAGCAGAGGAGCAAGGTGTGGATGTAATCTGGACTTCAGTAAGGCCTTTGACTGATGGTCTCTCATCACATCCTTCTCTCCAAATTGGAAAGATACAGATGTCATGGGTGAATTTTTTGATGGACCATGAATTGATTGCGAGAGTGTACCCAGAAAGTGGAGGTCAATGGCTGAATGTCCAGATGAGACCAGTGATGAGTGCTGTCCCAGAGGGGTCAGTACTGGGTCTGCCAACTCTTTGATATCACCATCAGTGACACGGACAGTGGGATGGAGTGTGCCCTCAGCAGTTTGCAGATCACATCCAGCTGTGTGCTGCAGTCGACATGGCTGAGTGCCTGGCACGGACCAAGAGCCAGTCTGGGGAAGTGACTTCCGATAGCACAGACAGCTGGGCTCAGTTGCGAGCCCAATCAGGCACCAGGATGATGTTCCTGCGGTCAGTTTGGAGGTGGGAAACTCAGAGAGGGGAGAGGGTGAGAAGACTGAGCACAGAGCTGCAGAGAAGGCACCTCCTGCCACTCCCCTTACCAAGGCACTGCACAGTCTCCTCAATGCGGACCCAGGTTCCAAAGCTGCTCCACCCCAGCCACGTGCCTCTATATACAGATCCAGCATAATCCAAAGCCCCATTTCCCCCCGCACATCTGACACGGGTGTAGGATGGCTGTAAACCCTCGGGGCAGCTCAGCATCACTTCTTCGTTCTTGTACTCCTCCAGGTTTGGTGCCAGATGGAGTTCTGTATCCCAGCGGGGCCTTTGGCACGTTTCTGGCAGAGGTGAAAACGGGTTCAGTCAGGGTGAGAGCTGGTGAGGCGGGACAGAGCACGGTGGGTACCAGCAAACACCTGCAGCCCTCCGGTCTCTGGAGGGGCAGAAAGTGGCATGTCCATCTGCCATGATACGACCGCTGGAACAGCTCTTGGGAAGGGGCTCACCTTGTACATCCCGCTGACCTCTCATTCATACCTTGTATGTCCCAGTGACCCACAGAGTCACAAACTGTCCCACTGCACCCTCATCCCTGCCACCCCTTGCCCCTCTTCACGGCCCATAGTTGGGATTTACCCAGGACTGTCCTGTCCATCCACTCCTTGGTCTGACCCCCAAGGCACGGGGCACAGGACCCGGCCCTCCTGCTGCGCGTTGCCCCCACACTGTGTGCTGCTCTCACTCACCAACACACTGAACGGCCCCTTCTATGAGGATCCAGGCAGCTGCGCTGTTCCTCCCCATCCAGACGTATTGTGTGATAGGACTTGATTCTTGGAATTGCTCTGCACATTTGATGCTGCTGAAGGAGGGCTTGAGATGTCCAGGGCAGGTCAGCTGCAGTTCCTCATTCACCCCATAACTGTCTCTGTCTGGTGTAAACTGAAGTCTGTAGTCCCACTGAAGTCTGTAGTCCCTCTGCGGCTTGGTGCACTGCTCTGTTGGGACAAAGTGTGACAGTCCGTCTTGGGGATAGGGGAACAAGGAGGAGGGCTGAGTCTCGGCCATGGCTGACTGTGGTGTCAGCAATGGATGGCATGAGGAGATGTGGGATCTTGGGGACAGGAGTGGAGCACGGTGTGGATGGAAGGTGCTCAGAGAGCTGTCACCTCTTCATTGTTCTTATAAAATCCCAATTAGGGCATTTGGGGCAAAAATCTCCAACCTGGTGCCTGCTTGGGGTGCCCGCAGGAACATGAGGGGCTCAGGTGAGTCTCGGCATGTCTGGTTGGCCCTGTATCGCTAGGATGGAGCTCAAAGAGAAGATGGAGAGAAACACACAGCTCCCAGCCTGGTAGGAACTGACAGCATCCTGCGAGCAGAGAAACCACCTTTGAAGGCTGTTTTTCACACCCTCACTGCACAGACAGCCGCCTACAGGCCTCGCACAGAGTGCAGGAAAAAGCCTGGTGATGGTTCAGCATGGAAAATATGGTTCAGGTGTGACAAAGAGGCTGCACTCAGCATGTGATTCGTGCTGACTGCAGAAAGGTTGGTCTGTGTGCTTTGCATCGGCAGACACGCAGTACTGTGCTGTTTTTCATGCGGTGATTAACCCCTTGTTGCCTCTGCTCTGCAGACACAAATGCAGCAGGTGTTTTACAGCAGTTATATGGAGCACCTGTTCCTGCTGCAGGACGTTCCAGGAGTGTAGCAAAGCGAAGCCTGGTGGGCCTTGCGTGCAGATGGCAGGAGGGGTCATCAGAGAGTAGCACGGAGTTCACAGTTTCTATGGTGTCCCCTGGAGTCTGCGCTCCCCCCAGGGTTTACTCAAGGCCCTGTTTGAAATCCAGGTCTCTCTTACTCACACTTACAGTGGCACCAGGCACTGCTGCTACAGCTCTTGCCTGTCTGCCTGTAAGTCACTGCGTATCGTCAAGCTCTACAGGAAAACACCCCCTACAGGCTTGCCCACCTCCCTTCTGAGCATGCTGTGAGGAGCTGAGGCCTTCGTTCAGGTGTTAAAACCCCACAGAAGCAGTGCAGGGGGGCAGTCAGGAGACAACAGGACAAAGGAACAGTGCAGCTTGGTGCACACAATGCACCATACGCCCCGACCACATCCTCTGCTGGCAGCTGCTCACGGTGCTGGCAGTGCTGACTGTGGGGCTGTCTCACCCAGCATTGGAATACTCCTTATGTCATGTCATTTCCTCCACGCTACCCAAAAACACTGTGGCCTGGGGTTGTTCCCCACTCTTTCATTGTACCCTCCACGGTTAGGGGGGATGTGCAGGGACCTCTGCTCCCTTTGTTCCCTATCTCTTCCCAGGGGTTCTGCCCTGCCCCACTACCTCTGGCCATCACATGTAAGATGGCTCCAGCAGGGCTCCATCCTGACCATCCCCCTCTCCTGGTCCTCTGTGATGCAAGGATCCTGACCCCAGGGGGACCATGGCACTGCTCTGGGTGTGGATGTACACAAACTGAGGATGCAGGCAGAGCTGCTGCGTGTGGCTGCTGAGCACTCGTGTCTCAGTTCCTCTTCTTCACAAACACAGAGGTGCAAACTCAGCAAACATTATCCTCACCACAGGCAGCTCCTGGGACAGGCAGGTGACGTAGTTGTGCAGAGCACGCCATGTGGTCACCAGCCACCATGTCCCCACTGTGTCCCCACTGTGTCCTGGACTCCACCTGCCCTTATGAACTGGGCAAATGAGCTGGATAACTACACATGGGCATAGTTACACTCTCCAGGCCATCAGGACAGTTTGAGCAGGGGGTTTGGGCACTGCAGGCAGGGGATGTCCACTGCCACTGACTTTACCCCCAGTGTTACAGTGACAGTGTGCTGTGCTCCACTCCCTGCAAGCACAGGGCACTCCTCCATTGCAGTTCCTCTGTGCCACACAGCATGGTGGGACAACACAGTGCTCATTTAACATTTTTTTGTCATCCAACTGTGGCAAGGTCAGTACAGAGAGAGACTCCAGGTCAGACAGAAAGCAGGCAGAAAGCAGGGTAATGGCCCTGGGCCTAGCCTCTGGATGGGTCCTCCACCTCCTGGGAACTCAGATTGCTCCTGAACTACAGAGACGACTTGAAGGGCTCTGCTGAGATTAAATATCAGCCCCGTGTCTCAGCTTTGCTGGCAGATGTTGGAAATAACAAAACAACCCTGATCCGCTCCTAGAAAATGAGCTGTGTGTGGTGCTCTGCAGTTCCCCCTCATGCCAGGCTGCAGAGCTGGGGATGGGCACCGTGACTCTGTCTTGTAGACCTGCAGAGCCCCCTCTCCTGGGTTTCCCTGAAGGGCCCCCAGCTCACGGCTTGGGCACCCCATAGCCTGTACTAAGAGCAGCCTTTAGGAGATGTCACTGCACACAGGGGCATGGCACAGGGGAAAGCATTTATGTGGTCTCCTAAAGGCAGCACCACACAGCTCGCGGCAGCTCAACCCCGACTGATGCCCATGTATCGCGGCTCCTGCTGTGAGTAACACCTCTGGCCCTTCCGTGTGCTGCTCATGGTCAAAATATGCAGCAAACGCACAGCAAGCGAGCAGTGAGACCTCCCTTTGCCAGGGAAGAGCAGCCATCCCTTACCTGGATACCAGGAATATCCTCTGTCGTTGGGGGCATGTTGTTCCGTCTCCAGCGCTGCCAGCAGAGTCACTAGGACCAGGAGAAGGGCCCACTGCGGGGCCATGCTCCCTCCTCCCCACAGGCAGCACCTCTCAGTGCGCCCGTCTGACTGCACGATGTGCATGCACTGGAAGGAAACAGCTGGGCAGAGCAGTTGCTTGCGGTGCAAGAAGCTTCCTCATCATAGAAGGAAGCTCCGCCAGTGCCAGAACTGCTTTCTGGGCAGGCTGCATGCCCCTTTTGCAACCTTATTGCTCCCTGAGAACAGATTTTAGGTGCTGTGGTGGGAGCAGCTGCTCTCACAGAACCTGGGCATGCAGGAGGACATTGTGAACAGTGCTGGTTCCTGGATTCCATTCTAGCATTGAAGCCATGTGGAGACTGCATCAGGACAGAACTCCCCTCATCAGTGTATCTCAGCCTGGGAGAAATTGAGGAAAAAGGACCCGGGTTGAGCAGTGAGCTGGCTCTGATCCCGCGGGCTGGAGAGCTGAGCCACTGTCTGGGTGCTGGAGTGTGGGCTGACAACAGGTGACAGCCCCAGGGGCACAAAGCAGACTGATCCAGGCTCCGAGATCATGTCTGCTGTTTCCCAGCAGTGTGCAGTCCTCTAAACAATCCTGAAGAATGGCCGTTCCACCTCTGGCAGCAGCTCAGCCTTTACCCCTACCTGCCTGCTGGTGCTCTGGGCATTTTCAGCTTAGAGATGTAAAAGCAGATGGGCATCAGTTAGCATAAGTTCCTCATTTGGGGAATCATTGGAAAATAACGAGGGAAATTCCACATATCAGAGAGGTCCCCCAAAAACTACATCCTCATGTTGCTCCCAGCACGATTCATCAGCCCATTGTCGTGCTAACAGCTCAGCTTCTCCAAAAGCCCTTCATTGCCCCATCTGAAACCTGGAAACATGGCTCACGCTATCAGGAAGTCCTCTACTTTCTCGTTCACCCTCTCATCACAACACTTCTCCTTGCTACACATTGGGAAAATTCTGAACTTGAGCACAACTGTGCTCTGCTTCCCTTCCTCCCACAGCCATGGGCTGCAGCTGCGTGTTATGGACACACAAGGCAAAGCACATGATGCCAAGGCAGTGTGTGGACTGATTTCAGCACCTGGGACACAAGTGACCCTGCTTTGTTGGGCTGGCAAATCCCCTACCCATGCCAAGGACTACATCCTGCCATGATACCAGCCCCAGGTGCCACCCCATGCACTGGAGGTGACATGGGGACTGAATGTATCTCAGCACCTGCAGCTTGGCACCAGAGCCCTCCACTGTGAGGTCAACCCATAGCGCCCCTTCGCTTTTCATTGAGGATGATGTCTCCTCCCCGTTCTTCATGCTCTGAGTTCCCAGTAACACTACAGACTTTTTTGGGGGGGCAGATTTACAGCTCTCAGAGTGTCTGCTAAAGGATTGCTGGCTGCTCCTGCAGGGTCCTTGCTCTGTTATCTTACTGAGCTTTGACATCCTATCTGCTCGATGCTATTTTGTGCCACCTGGCAGTGACTTTTGCTCTTAGAAGATCACCCTCTGTTTTGAACAGCTTCTGGCCCTGGCTGTCTTGCTGGCTCCCCTCTGCGTTTTGCTACCAGGAACTCAGAAAGGCTGCCCTACATCTTTGTAGGCTGCTGGGCATCTTGTGATCACACTGCTTCCTTTAGGGAGATCTTGCCCGAGTTTCCTCACTGCATGCATTTCCCCTTTCTGAAGCTGAGCAAGAAGCCACTGGACTGTTCAAACACTGAGATGATGCAGGGTCAGGGGTACAGAGCTCACTGCTGGGCAGCTCTCAGTGGAGACCAGAGCTCAGCTCCCCATATTCCTCCCAGGCTTCCCTGCAGGGTGCTCTCAAGGAGTCCCAGCCCTCGTGGACATGCGTGTGGGGACTTCAGGATGCTCACAGCTCTGCCCTGCAGTGAACACGTCCCCTCAAACGTGGTTGAAAGGGGAAGCAGTGCTGAGCTGTGGCAGCCTCCCATGGGCCATGCTACCACAGAAGAAACCTCCTGGGGCTTGTTGTACTGATGGGGACATCGAGGCAGTCTGTGAAGGGCCAGATGAAAGTCAGCCACGTGGCAGCCGTGTGCTCAGCTCTGGGACTGCCCACCCTGCCCTGTGAGCATTCCAGCCCACAGGGTGCTGGGATCGGGTGCCTCCTCTCTTCCCAGGATCCTGCAGCCACCCCAGGGAGCTGCTGCATTGTTCCCAGCAGCAGGGACCCAGCCGTGGCCGCAGCCTCTGCCCCACAGATAAGCTGCATCCTGATGACCACAGACCATGATTCCTTCCTGGGATAAGCACTGGCTGTGGAGGACACAGTCGCTATTGGGTCAGTGCCTTTGTGCATGTCTCCCTGTCCAGGCTGACCCACCAGCAGGAGGCCTTCTCAGCCCATCCACCCCTCCCCACCCCCACAGGACTCTGCTGCTGCTTTCCTTCCTGCACAAACTCCAGACCCCAGGGTGTTGGGCTGGGAATGAGCTTCAGCTCTCAGGATGCTGTGCATGGGGAATCCATTATAACTCTGCCCAGCCATGGCCATACAAGGGAGCAGGCCAGCACAGGGCATCACAGCCATGGGGACATCCCAGTTCCCAGCACTGCTGGCCCCAACCTGCGTGAGGGAAGCTATCATCTACCCTCTCTTTGCTCTTATAGCTATGATGCTCTCTGCCCACGATGCACGTTGAGCACAAGGAAGCCACATGAGGAGCAGAAGTCCCAGCTCTTCCACAGCCCTACGGCTGAAGCACCTACCAGCCACAGCTGAATCACTCGCGCTGCCAGGATAAGGACTCCCCTGGGCTGCGTGCTGGCTAGGGGGACATCCAGCTGCATCACCATCCTTGGGTATAAAGTATTACTTTTCAGAAAGGGTGGTCAGCACTGGAATGGACTGCCCAGGGAGGTGGTGGAGTCACCGACCCTGGAGGTGTTCAAGGAAAGACTGGATGCTGTGTTGAGGGACATGGTTTAGTGGGAGCTATTGGGAATGGGTGAACGGCTGGACTGGATGGTCTTTTAGGTCTTTTCCAACCTTGGTGATTCTATGATTCTATGATTCTGTAGGTAGGAGAAGGAAGGCATGCCAGCCTCGGGCAGTGACCTATCTCCTAGGGGAGAATCTATCTCACTCCGAAGGTCAGGTGCTGGCTGTGGCTGGAGACAGGACAAAGCACAGGTACCCCTCATTCCCTTCTTGAAAACAGGGTGAAATGACAACGCTGCAAAACAAGGGAGCTCAATCAGCACCTTTTAATTAATATGCATCATAAATAAAGAAATAAATAAAGGCGAGACACCTCGTTCTAATAGGGAAATACAAATTAAATATGGTGCAACGTCCGCTAAGCGATGTACAAGCAGGAGGTAACCTTGCAAGACCAGGGCCCCTCGCCATGGGGAAGCCAGCCCAGGCAAGACACCATGAGCAGCATCCGCCTGGCCAAGGCACCAAATACTGGCACGGACTTTCGCTAACACTGTCACCCACCCAGTGGCAGGTGAGGATCCCCACACCACCCCAAGAGCATGGCAAGGCAGGGACTGACTGACATTGCCTCTGCTGAGGAGCCCTGGACTCTCAGCAGCCCCTTGTGTTCACACGCAACACTTGTCCCCCAGACTCACACCACGGGGAGCATTTCCTATCCCCATCTCCCCCGCCGTTCCTGGTGGGAGCGTGGCCCCCAAACCCCAAAAGCATCCCATCCCTAGCCCTGTCAGGGACCCTGCCCTCACCCCCCTTCCCTCCCCTCCCACCTTCCCTCCGCTGAGCACCCCAGGGCATCTGAGGCGACCTGCTCAGCACGGAAGGCACATCCCCACATCACCTATCTCTGCACAGGGTGGCACTACCTCACCTGGACCTACATCACACCGAACATCCACGTGCCTTCCTCACAACCCCACGCACCCTCGCTCTGCACACACACACACACCCCTTCCCTCCCAGGCCGAGGCCGGGCAGCATTGGCAGTGCACGGTGCTCCAACCCCGATAACACTGGGGTGCTGGAGGCTGCACGGCCACCCCTGGGAGGGGCCATTCTCCTGCACCCTGCAGTGTGAAACTGAGCCAGTACTTCTCTGGCAGGGATTGTTTCGATTCCTGCTACATACAAACCCACCACCTATTGGTGCTGGAGATGGCATGGGGTGGAGGGGACTCTAATGGTCCCTGGTGTGGCTGCATGCACGGCAATGCCTGGCAATACGAGGTACAGCTTGCAGAAGGCTCCACGGGCCAGTTTGGCCTTTGGCAGCTGCACAAGGAGGAGCAAGAAGGAACCACCTACGGTTACTGTATTCTGTAATGGCAAGAAAGGTAAGAAACTAGCAAGAAGCTGTGTTTGCTTCTCTGGGCATCCCCAGAGGAGCCTCAGCAGCCCATGATACTGTGCTTGGCCTCTTAGCCATGTCAATAGTCCTCGTCCTCCGGGTGGGTCACGTACATGATGGGCACGAGTCCCTTCTCGGAGCCGAGACTGCACTGCAGCCAGTCACCATCCACCTTGGAGATGACCTGCAGGATATCCCCTTTGTTGAAGCTCAGCTGTCCTTCCTCGGTGGCAATGTGATGGCAAAGAGCTTTCACCTCACTGTGTGCAAGAGGAAGGGAGAAAGGGTGAGATCTTCACAGCATGCTCACCCCACTGGAGTCCAGGGACCACAGTGGGGTCAGAAATAAACCTCCGCCTCCCTCCCCTCTGCAGCAGCAGGCAGACCTATGACAACTTCCTCCCATTACAGCCCCAGTCACATGCCACCACTCACCAGGGAGGATTGGCACACAGTCCCCGGGCTGGCTGTGGTGCAGGCGACACTTCAGGAGGCTCTGGCTGGGTGGGTTCTGGCTCAGGGGCTGTTTCTCGCCACATGCTTGCTCCGACCTGGGCCACCAGCTGGAACACAGACTTGTCCAGGCTCAGCCAACCAGAGGGCAACCTGCAAGGATGAGACAGAAGCAGGCTGTGGTGAAGAAGCCAGTGTCTCATGGTAACGTCATGCCTCAGGGATCTGGACACACAGCATACACTGCAGTCCCCAGGCTTTTTCCATTCCAGGAGATCCAGCAACCTCTGGACACACCAGGTGTTACATAT